TCGTGGGAGGAAACTCTTAGGGGAACCGCTTCCCACCCCCCCAGCCTCTCTACCCCCACATTAATGTCACACACATTGGGGTAATTCAATTGCAGGATAGTTGCATGGGGGAGAATTGGGGGGGGGCAAACTAATCCCTATTGGTAGGAGGATGGCGGGAAAAGTCCTTGGGTCGGGGGTGTCACAGCACTTTTTACTTTTGGTCATGTGCCTATCTTGCCCGGAGAGGGTTACCTCCAGGGGCGTGGCTAATGGGGGCTAGGAGCATGGTTAACAGGGGGCCAGGGGTGTGGCTAATGGGAGGGTCAAAGTGCTTTTTAAAAAAATTATTTGGGTCGGGTCAGGTGTGTGGCTAATGGGGGGTCAAAGTGCATTTTGAAAACAGTCTTTGGGTGCACACCCTAATGAAATGTGCTGCGCACGCCTATGGGTAGTTACCGTGTAAATACTTGCAGCCACGTCGTAACAGGCTACAGGCAAGAGAAAACAATGCGCTACACGTCCCATTGGTTTTGTGGAGTTTAAACACCCAAAACACTTGCTCAGTTAGCAATCGCTGTGCTTTATACTAAGACACAAGTGAATTGGCCTAGCGCTGTTCTGATCCGACCAGGGCTGCCGGCGTCGTGCTGGTTGTGAGAACTGGTTTCCTCGCCACTCTCAAAGTGCAGTTCACTAGGTTTCCAGACAGACACACAAACACGAAACAATCTCAAATTTCGGTTACAAACATGCGCCCTGAAATTCTCAGGGGGGAAAATGTCAACTAATGGCTGAAGTTTTTGAAAACACGAACAGCCTTAATTGTGGGGAAGTGACAGAAAGGAAGGGTGGCCTATTGGTCGCTGTGCTAACCTGGGTTCCGTTTTCTCCTCTGCTACAATCTTTCTTGAGCGAGTCACTTGATCTGTTGCTTTGTAGAGACCCTGGTCTGTAGGGCTCCAATTATGCCGGAGTTGGGGGGCAAAGCATGACGGGTTTCCATCCAGACTCCGCGCTGTCGAAGGCGAGGACTCAGCCCGCGCCATCCCGACCAGTGTTGTTTTCTTTGCCACAGAATGAAGTGACACTACTGAGGAATGAAGTTGCTCAACTGAAACAGCTTCTGCTGGCCCACAAGGACTGCCCCGTCACTGCACTACAGAAGAAAACACAGGGCTATCTCGGTGAGTCGTGCCTTGCCCGTCGGTCTGCGCCTTAGGGTGCATGGGGGAGAATGAAGCCCGAGGACAAGCCTTGCGTGCCCTGGCACCCCTGAAGGATGCTAGCTGGGCAGCGCTGCGGGCTGGTGTCCTCTCTGCAGAGACAGGTAAAGCACAGGCAGCACAGTGCAGTGCCTGGCCACTGGGCCTTACCGCCGCTCTGGGCCAAGCCGCACCTGGCTGGCGCCGCGGGTTCTGCCTGGTCTCCAGCAAGAGCTCCAACTCCTGTCCTTTGCTGTGGCAGCTCTCGCGCTGTGAGCAGTAACGCCGGGGCAGCGCTCTGTCCCTCAGCCTCGCCATGCGGCACGGAGAGCAGGCACTCCGATACCCTGGGGCTGGCTGCAGGGTAAACGCTTTGGTCGCTGTTTCAGTTCTCTCCGCCCCTCCCTGGCTCCCACGAGCCCGGCCCAGTGTTGCCCCGATGCCAGATGTCCCTCTCCACGGGTCGATGCTGCTCCGTGTTGGGAACTAACTGCTGCTCTCTGCTGCGTTCCAAGTCCAGGCTGTGTAAATGACATGGCAGCAGGCTGGCTCACTTTACAAGTGAGAAGGCTTCTTGATTTGAAACTGCCTCCAGTAGAGAGACAAGGTGGGTGAGGGCCAGCTGCTGTTGGGGAGAGACAGGCTCTCAAGCTCTCACAGAGCTCTTCCTCTGCTCTGGGGAGTGTCCGCCCTGTCACCGCTGAATCCAAGATGAAACCGATTGGTTGGCACGTTCCGGGCGCAGTGGCCTTGCGGCTCAGTGCTCACTATGGCTGGAAGGGTGTTTGCAGGTCACTTGGCCTTGAACGGTCCTTTATGCCAACCCATCTCTTCCATCTCGAGGGTGCGTCTAGGCTACAAAATGAAATGGACCCTTACGTTGCTGTAAAGCCTCCGGGGCTGTTGCGTGTCCACACATGCTCCTTGTGCGTGGGGGGTGTCCTCACTAGTAGTGCTGGTATCCGTGCAGAGAGCAGTGCACCATGGGTAGCTATCCCACTGTGCCACTCCCTACCACGTGGCGCAGGGTGTTCTGGGAAAGGTAGTCAGGGATGCCTGGTGACGTGGTTTCGACATCCCACGAGATTATCTGCATCATGCCTCTTTTCCAAAGCCTTCTCTCCCCCCTCCCCCCCGGTACGTTTGCCATCTCGGAGAGAAGCAGGGGTCCTGCACTGGACACGGTTGCCGCTCCTGCAGGATTTTGGGAGCTGCCAGAGGGGCTGAGGGAGAGGTGACAGTGCCTTGCAGGTTGCCTGGCTGACGGACGAAGAGAGAGACAATTCAGGGCTGCTGCTGGCATTCCCTGAGCGGCTGGCAGATGGAGCGCTGGCTCGGGGCCCAAGAAACAAGCCTGGGCTTGGGAGGACGAACAGGGGCTGCAGGACTTTCAGGTGTGCCCTGGCCTTGCCCCGCGGCGCCAGGGGAAGAGAGCAGCGACTGCCGTGTGGCAGCGGGTCGCTCCCCATTGCTACTGTTAACTGATACCTCCCTCCTGAGGGGCCCGGCGGCTGAAGGGCACCCCCCTGCGTGTCCGGCTGCAGACCGGCTCCGTATGCTGCTCGCCCGCATGCTGCGGTGGGCCCTGCTGGAGCACTTGCTGCCTGGTGTGGGAAGCCCTTGCTGGGATAGAGGAAATAGACGCCCTCCCCGACAGACGAGCGCTTTGTCCTTGAATTCCCTGGGAAGGATTCCCAGGCGAGCCCAGTGCCCGTGGCAGGAGCGCTGCCTCCCTTGGTCTGTCACTCCGTCTTCTGGCCGGATGTCAAACCAGCGACTGAACGGAGGCGCGTCCGCACCGAGGCAGTGGCAACCCTTACCGGGGGCTTCGTCCCTGCCTCCCGCTCACCAGGGCTGGGCGGCAGCGTCCGGCTCGACGGCTCGGATGTCCCTGGCCGCTGCATCCCCTATCTGCCTTTCCCCATCCTCCTCCTCCAGCACCCCCGTGTGCACCGCGAGGGCCCGTGCTTCCCACGGGGATTGTCGGGGGCTCCAAACAGTCTCTGCCTCCATCCAGAGGGACGATGTGGCCTCCCTTGCTCTCTGGTTCGCCTGCCCCCACTCCCGGACCTTCGTGCTGCGGTGCCCTGCTGCGCCCAGGGGATCTGCTCCTGGCTGCACTGTTTCCACAGCATCCTCCTGCCTGGGCCCGGGAGAGCCTCGCTCCCGGTGTGCTCCGGGCAGGAACGCGCTTGCTGCATGGAGCGGGCAGCTCCAGGTGAGCTCTCCCTGCCGAGCAAACGGGCCCCGGAGCTTACCGTTGGCGGGGCACGCGCAGCGGAGGGGCACGTGCCCGCATGCCTGGCCCTGCCCAGAGGAGTCCAGAACAGCGACCAGAGCAGCCGCAACGGGGCAGTGTGGGGCACCCGCCGGAGGCCAGGAAGTTGGACACAGTGCCGCGGTGTTTACGCTTTCGCCGGGGGCTCTGAGCTAGGGATGGGAAATGCTGCTGAACGGGTGACTGATTAAAAGGGGGCAGGCGAGGGGGCTGCTCCCAGGGACCGGCTCTTACCCGGTCACAGCCCTGGTCTGGGCACCGAGCCCCTCGCGGAGGTGAGTTAGCGCGACACCGCAGGCAAGGGAGGGACCTTGTTGGAGGCTTTGGAGTGTAGGCGCTCCCGGAGCCAGGCCAGTGGAAGCTCTCCCCGCCAGCCGGGAAAGCCCTGCGCCCCCTGGGCCTGGCTGCCAAGGGGAGGGGCTGAGTGAGGGGCAGGCTCAGGGGCGAGGGGGCCCCTCTTTCCCCCAGGTCACCCTGGCAAGGAGGGTGCAGCGTCCCCGGGCTGGGAGCAGGCTCCTCTGCTCAGCCCAGGGAGGGGCCCTGCTGAGGCGGGGGGGGGGGTCCCAGGGGGAGGGGGGGGCGGGCCCGG